CACTTTGTATCGTATTCTACAAGTCTAACACTTTGTTCACTTGAATGGATTTGGGAAAGAGTGATTGAATGAATTTGAGAGGATTTGAAGGTAAGTTTTTTGTTGTTTAGAGTAGATTTGGAAGTAAACTTTTTTAATTTGTCATATCAATCAAATCCTACACTAATTTTCACAAATTTTACTTCCAAATTTACTCTCACTTACCTCCAAATTCACTCAAATAAACAACAAAAAATTTACCTACAAATCCTCTCAAATTCATTTAATCACTCTCTACCAAATTTAAGTGAACAAAGTCTAAGACAACTTGAGATTTTGGGATTATTAATTCAATAATTTATTTGTGCAATGATGAATGGAATTCAAATAATTCATTAATTTATTCAATATATATTCCTCTCTAATACAGAGGCAACACTATTTTTAATTTCAATTTTCTATATCATACTTTCATTTTAAACATCATTTTAAAAAAATATTACTTAAATATTATATTTGAAAAATTTAGCAATCGTTTCCATTGTTATTTTTTAGTATGTTTTATGATTAACTACTCACCAACACATAACTAATGTAAATGTCTCATGTATACATATATTTAACTTTACAGTGTATTGTCTTTAATTTTAAACTTAATTATACATATTTTAAGATAAAAAAATGAAATTAATAAGACGATATTATAAAGATATAATAATAGAAGTTAGATATTGAATTAAAACAATTAGTATATAAATAAACAAATAAAAATATCATTTAAGCCTTTACTTTTGAAAATATCTAGATAAACAATTTAAAGTTGTAAAACTTGTGTAGTTAAAATCAATAAATATATTATTTAAAAATAATTAATAACGATATTTATTTAATGGAATTGATACTGATTAAAAAATTATAAAATACATTTAATAGTAAACATATTTAAAATTATTAATTACAGATAACAAAATTTAAATACATCACATAATATCAATGATAATAAATATTTAAATAATTACATAATAGTTTTCATTCATTCTTAATTTACATTTATTTGAAAAAAATATATATTAATAAACTTCGATAAATTTATTTCAACATTTTTCATTTTAAAATATAAATTTATTATTTATTTATAATTAATAAAAATTATAATTATACTTTTAAAAAATTGTGTGCTTAAGTTACGTTACTTTGTTTAGTAAAAAAAAATCTTATTTGAATTATATTAGGTTTAAATCTTCATGCAGCAAATAATATATTATTTTTTTCCTCTTTAAGTTAAGGAGAGAGAAAGAGATGAGTCTGCGTCGCAAGAGAGAAGAAAATGTAAACTTTTTTTCATATTATAACATAGTTAACTTTTGTAAAATTAATAGACTTGATTGGTTATATAAAGTTAGAACGAAATATATTACGTTAAATATTGGAATACTTTTTTGTTTAAACAACAAAAAGGAATATATTTAGGTTTATAATAATTTAATGATTATCATATTTTATATCACCATCAACAAGAAAAATAACATTCTTATTTTATTTTTATTAATTATATATACATATATAATATCTTATTATCGAAAGGAAATAGAAGGTAGGTATAACAAAAGAAAAATCACATAATTTATCCAATATTTATATCTACATTAAGATGCAATGTATGTGAACTGTAAAAGATGAATTTAAGAGAGAGTGAATAGAAGAATTTAAATGTATTTAAGAGTAAAATGTATATTTTTTAAAAAGAATTTGGGAGATGATAGAGAATAAATTTAAAAAGAAAATTTATAAGAAAAATATTTTAATAAATAAAAAATAATAAATATCAAATTATCCTTCAATATTATAAGTAATTTTACTCGTCATCTTTTTCTCCCTTCAAATATATGAAAAAAAAAATAGTTTTACCTACACCATCTTCGAAAATATTTATAAACAGTGACTCACTTGCAATGATAATTTAACCAATATTTACTTATTTTTCTTTAATTGAAATAATTTTACTTTTTACTTTTTTTTTTACTTCTCATTTTAAATACTCAATCCAATCAAACGCAAATGAGAAAAAACCCTGTTTATTTATTACTCACCTCCCGGATAAATTCATATATATTTTTTGTTATTTATTAATATTTGTAAATTATTAAGTGGTAGTAAATTTATAGTTTTTATTAGATTTAATCATTTAGAATATCCCTATTTTTGGAGGATTTTCTCAATTAGGTCCTCGTAGTGTTTTATCTCTCAATTAGGTCTCTAAATATGAAAAATTTCATTAATTGAGACCTTGTCGTTAATTTGGGTGAACGGCGTTTAAAAATGTTGTGCATGGCAGGGTGAAATTAACAAGTTTTATTGACGTGGCAGAGTATGGTGTACTGAGTTGGATAAGTTCCATAACATAATAAATTTTATTGAAATAAAATTACTGAATCATTGAAAACACAACGTTTAAATTAAAAAACATTAAATGAATGAAACGCAACGTTTAATTGAGTGAGCACGTTAATTGAGTGATAACTTATTAGAAGAAAGAAAATTTTAATTTCATTGTTGAGTGGGTGCGAAATTGGGATTTTTGGGAAAGTAGGGTTTTATTGAGGCAAAAAATTGTTGATTGGGTGCGAAAATTCGTATATGTGGTGAGAAAGTAGGCTTCGTGTGAAGATTTTGGAGTGATCTATCAATTCTAAATCGGTGAAATCAGGAAGCTCTTGGCGGTGAATCACGTGGAAGGCAGTGGCGAAAGTGTTTAAGGTGAATCACGTGTTCAGGTTAGTAAATGCGTTTTTCATTGAATTGTTTGATGATGTTGTCCTTTTATGGTTGTCCCACAATGTTGTATGCTCTATCCTGTTTCAATTTTGAGTGCAATGTGGTCCCCTAATATTAAAGTGTTGTTGGATTGTCTTTTTCAGTGGGTTGTGTTTTGCATATATTCTTACTAAATATTGTTGCCCTCCATTTTTTATTACTTTATAGGTTAAATATAAGTTTATTTTGTACGTCATGGAGGAAAATTTACAAGTTGTTTTCCACCACGGTGGAAAGTTCATAAATGAAGGGAAACTTAACTATGAGGGGGAGAGTACAACTTTGTCGTTTGACCCATACATGTGGAGTTATTTCCTTGTAGTGAGTGTAGTGAAAGGGCTAGGTTATGAGGGGTTTAAGGAGTTGTGGTACTGCATAGGTGGTGGTTCTGTGTTAGAAAATAGGTTGGAGCCTTTGTTGGATGACAAAGGAGCCATGCACATGATTACCTTAGCTAGGCTTAATGGTGAGGTGCATCTTTTTGTTGTTCACAGTTTCTAAACCTGAGATCATACATATGTTAGAATATGTTACTTAGAATATAACTAAAGTAGAAACTGTTTAGGCTAAATGTCAACAAGATATTGGAAGTGAATGTCAACAGGATCGTGAAAGACAATGTGAGGTGCCTGCCAATGAAGGTGAGAGAGGTCAATGTGATGGTATGACTAAAACTGCTGTTGTTTCAGAAGAAAAATGTGAGGGTGATCATGTTGTTGAAGGTGAAATTGAGTGTAAAGGTGATGTTAATGATGATGGTGGTGATGTTCGTAGTTGGAGTTCTAGTGGTGAGGATGTTAATGATGATGATGGCAATGATGAGGTTAATTATGATTGTATGGAAGGTCTGGTTGATGTAAATGTTGACTGTGATATAGAAGAGGAGGTAGGAGATGGAGTTGGTAATGTTCAAGTTGATGTTCAATGTGATGGACCATCATGGACTCAGATGTTCGATAGTGATGTTGATGATGGAATAAATAGTGATGATGATAAAGGTTTGTCTGATGATGAATGGGAATCCGATGAATTAGACAGTGGAGCAGAAAGTGATGGTGAAGATGATGAAGACGAGGGTTATGGGAAGTTTGTAACATTCTATATGCCTAAGACAATGGTAGATTATAAATAGGATCTGGGCACTTATTTTGCTGAGAAGCAAGACTTTGTGGATGCCATAAAAACATATGCAGTACAAAATGGCAGAAATATTAAATATGTTAAAAATGATAAGAAGAAAATTAGGGTAAAATGTATGGGTGGTAAAGGAGCATGCCCCTGGATGGCATATTGTGCTTATATGGAAGCCATTAAAACTTGGCAACTAAGGACTATTGTTGACAACCACAACTATAGTAGAGAGCACAAATTAAGATTACTTAATTCAAAATGGCTCAGTAAGAGGTTGGAAAAAACTGTTAGAGAAAATCTCAAAGTAAAGGGAGTGGAAATTCGTGAGAAGATAAATAGAAAATTGAATGTAAGTGTATTTAGATGCATGGCTTATAGGGCAAAGGCCATTACTTCAGACAATGTTGATGGGTCTTTCAAAGACCAATATAAAAGGATTTATGATTATGCGAATGATCTCCTAGGTCGTGATGAAGGATCCACAGTGAAAGTCAAAGTTGAAGATACTGGCAGTGGACCCATTTTTGAAAGGTTTTATACTTGTCTGAAGGCTTGCAAGGATAGTTTTGTGTCCTGCAGGCCAATTATTGGGCTGGATGATGCTTTTTTGAAAGGAAAATGTGGTGGTGAATTATTAACTGCTGTTGGTAGAGACGCAAATGATCAAATGTTACCTCTTGCGTATGTCGTGGTGGAAGTAGAGAACAAGGATACTTGAAAATGGTTCCTTGAACTTCTGGTTCAAGATCTTGGTGGGTTACAGTCAGTTCATCATTTACATTCATGTTCGACCAGCAAAAGGTAATGCACATGACCTTTTCCCCCATTATGTTCATTAACATTCTTATTCAAATAATATTTCTAACAACACTGTCATTATTCTGATTAAACAGGGACTACTGCAAGCTGTACAAGAAGTGGTTCCTAGAGTTGATCAACGTTTCTGTGTTAGGCACCTATACGCAAATTTCAGAAAAAAAATTCCTTGGAAAACATCTCAAGCGTTTGATGTGGAAGGCAGCATCAGTAACCCATCCACAAACATGGGAATCAGAAATGAGAANGTGAGCAGAATCCTGTAAGGGAATTATGGCCGAACATGGGATAACAGAAGGAAGACCAGCCAAAAATGGTAAAAGCTATAACTGATTCAAACTAAGCAAAAGGTGGCAGAGAGAAATGCATTGATTGAGAAAAACATAGGTCCTCCTTTGTAGGAGACCATTGAGGAATAACAGCAAAACCTCCTTTCGTATTATGGACTTTTTAGCATGCAACACGTTTCTCTTTTTCTTTCTGTTGAGAACCCCTGTTTTCTTCCAATCAGGTACATTTCCTCCTTGAGAAACAAAACACTTCTCCCCACGACACTTCAATCCCATAATCTAGGAACACAAATTCCATTAGTAATTCAAGATAGAAACACCAATAAACATAGTAGTAACCTGGTTTTGACTTTTCTGTAGGTTAATTGATCATTTCGCATTCATCTACATGCTTCTAACTAACATGCATTCACATTTTTTTACCATAACTCGTTAATCATTCCTACCACTTGTTCTTTTCAGGGGTCCAACCGTTTGTAGGTGGTGTTTCCGGCAACGTGCTCTTCTGGATACAAACCTTTGGCCGGAAACCATAATTATGTGCTTCATGTGAATTCTGAGATACAGTAACAATGTCTTCCTCTCCTCACAACAGTTCTCCAGATAATGAAATACCTGATGATTCCACCCCAGACAACAGCACCCCGGACAACAGCACCCCTGATGACGCTGACAACTCATCTTCAACACCATCAAATTCATCACCGCCACCATCTCCACCGCCACCTTCATCGCCACCTCCATCTCCTCCACAATCATCTTCATCTCCACCTCCGCCAACCCCATCAGAAAAGTCCTCTCCTTCCCCTCCAACATCAACCAATCCAAGCCCGCCATCACCCAATACTTCCCCACAGACACCTTCTCCACCCGCTTCATCACACTCTCCTCCCTCTTTTAAATCACCCACTCCTCCACACAAATCATTGCAACCTCCAACCGCTTCAAAAAATAGTGGCAGTGGCAGTAGCGGTAGTGGTAAACATGGAAACAGCGATAGCAGTGATCGTGGCAGACACGATAACAGTAAAGCAATAGTTGGAGCAGTGCTTGGGGTGGGGAGCGTGCTTCTTGTTTTGGTCATCGTCTGCGTTATCTGTTCCAGGAAGAAGAAAAAGAAGAGAATGTACTATTACGGAGAGCAATCATTCGGAAAAGGTAACCAACCAAAACCGTTACAATTTCTTGCTTGGCTTTCATGCATATCATGCACAGGCACCATCAGATGATAATCAATACTAACAAATCTTTCCATGAATTTTTCATCCCACATTGCCCAAATGGTTCACTTTATTTCTTCGTTGCGACAAATAGTACCCCTGAAAACCTGCGAGAGGGGTCTCGGGGTATAAGAAATAAAAGGATACCATTTTTGTTTTTCTAACTGGAACTGTGTTTCAAAATTATGTCTGTTTGTTTGTCTCTCATCACAGTTGTATACTGCTGTTGATTTCTGATGTTCATAATTAATGGTCTCTACAGGGAATAACAACTATTACAATAGTGGGCAACACCAGGGTTATTACGGAGGTCCACACGGGGACCATGTTGTGAGGGTGCAAAACGGAATGGTTCCCGGTGGTGGTGGTGGGGGTGGGGGTGGAGGTGGTGGTGGAGGTGGGTGGGGTGCACCACCTCCTCCTATGATGCATAGCGCTGATATGAGCTCCAACTACTCGACGGGACCACCCCCTTTGCCTCCTCCCTCACCAACCCTTGCTCTAGGCCTCAAAGGTGGCACCTTTACTTATGAGGAACTATCTGCTGCCACCAATGGATTCGCTGATTCAAAACTGATAGGACAGGGTGGCTTCGGTTATGTCCACATGGGTGTGTTGCCTAACGGAAAGGAAGTGGCAGTTAAGAGTCTAAAAGCAGGAAGTGGACAGGGAGAACGAGAGTTCCAAGCTGAGATTGACATCATCAGTCGTGTCCATCATCGCCATCTTGTGTCACTCGTTGGATACTCTATTTCTGGCGGCCAGAGAATGTTGGTCTATGAATTTATTCCCAATAAAACCTTGGAATATCACCTTCATGGTAACTACTACATATATGCATTCTTTCAATCTATGTCACTTTAGCTTTCGCTTCAACTGTTGTATTTCAAATTTCATTTCAAGGACAATTGTGAAACCATAACCCTCAAGTTTACACACACACACAANACTTATGACAATGATTTATTCATATTTTCGATTGATTAACCAATATGAAAGTGAGTTAAGTCTACTACTTATAGTTTTATTTTAGATTCCTACTCAAACACAACTCTCTTTAATCATATCAATTCCATACCATATAAAACCAATATACGCACATCTCTTTAGTGATAAAAGATTCCATAACCAGAATTCAATTTCTTACTCAAACACATCAAACAACTCTCATTTTCATTAAAATGGAATAAAGGTACATCATTCAAAGACATCATCCCATTCTCATCATCATTGAAACTAAAACTGTGTTTATTACACATAAAATGCAAACCAAAATGATGAACCTTTCATCCACTTTTCAACAATGAAGACACATTTTTGTAACTAAACTAACATTTTCCTAATACTATCCATTTCTTCACTGTTCAGCAAACTTTGTTTGTTTCCTTCACACTTCAAGCACGTCCCCATTTCGTGTTACGCAACATCACTGCACCATTTGAAGTAGTTACCACCACCGTCTTCAGTACCACTTTGTAAACACAACAATCTATTCTCAGAAACAGTTCCACATAATACATAGCTGAAATCAATCATACCTTATACTTCGAGAATCCCCAAAGTTGCTTCCCACGATTCTTCATAGTTTTAGCAGTTCTCAACACACATCTCTCTCCACAGTGACAAATCGGTGAACACACATTAGGGTTCTCCTTCCGCCACACATTGCAGCTCGACGAACAACATGAATGATCCTTGGACATCGTCTTAGAACAAGTTCGTTCAGCACCCACTTGCGTCGCACAGAAACACCCTCCAACAATAAACTAAACAAGGTCCAAGACCAACCTCGCTCTCCTCAGACACACATTTAAATTAGGGATTTCAGTGTTCCAATTTAGGGATTTATTGAAATCCCAATTAATTTTGATTTTGTTTCCCCAAACGTTGTGTTTTCAATGATTCAGTAATTCAATGGAAGTTATCCAACTCAATACATCATACTCTGCCACGTCAGTAAAACTTATTAATATCACCCTACCACGCACAATATTTTTAAACGTCATTCACCCAAATTAACGGCAATGTCTAAATTGATGAAATTTTCATATTTAGGAACCTAATTGAAAGATAAAACACTATTAAATTAAATATTAAAAACCCTTTTCTTTTCTCCAATTTTATAGATTTGATTTCATCTATATTGGATACCTTTATTTGTTTGAATCAGAACTAATTCTAATATCTATACATTAACAATTCAATATACACAGATATAGACCACATATCTACTTATCTTCTATGTACCTCCTTATCTTATTTTTTCATACAATTTAGAATACTCGAATGGTCGATTCATTTTTTTTTGTTTTTGCTGAAATAAAAAGAAAATAAACAATCCATTTATTCATATACAATTAATATAACTAAAACGAATCTAGTGGTTAGAAAAAACCATTCTTTTAATTTCATATAGAATTAGACATTTACTTAGAAATATGAAATTCCTTAATATTTATTAAAATATATCTATTTCCTAAAATTTATATTTATTCAAATTTACTTGAGAAAATGCTCAAGTAGCATAGATGTTCTAAATTATTAAACTTTTTATTATTAGATAACAATAACATTAGCTGCAAAACATTACCCTTATTCCACTCGCACCAACAACTTAAGGGTGTTTATTCTCCCTTCGCTCTTCGTTTTTGCTTTCTCTCGCGCTCAAAGCACAACACAGAACTATGAACGCTTCAAGGATGCTGCTGTCGTCTCCACTATCGAGCTGCCACGTGGTGCGCGGGAAGCTTTTTCCGGAGTCAATTAGAAGGCGCAGTTGTTGTTCTCCTCCGCCGCTGAAAATAGCGAGCATGGCGAAGGATGGCAGCGACGCCAGCAGCAACGGCGGCATCATTGAAAAAGTAGCCATAGGAGGTGGATTGATCTCAACCCCAGTAATCGCTTGGTCTCTCTACACTCTCAAAACAACCGGTTGCGGTTTGCCCCCCGGTCCAGGTGGCTCGATCGGTGCCCTGGAAGGAGTGAGCTACCTGGTTGTTGTGGGCATAGTGGGTTGGTCACTCTACACTAAAGCCAAAACCGGTTCTGGACTTCCCAACGGTCCTTTTGGTTTGTTGGGTGCTGTTGAAGGCCTTTCCTTTTTGTCTTTGCTTGCCATTGTGGTTGTCTTCGGGTTGCAGTACCTTGACAAGGGTTTCATCCCTGGTCCTCTCCCCGCAGATCAGTGTTTTGGCTAGGTTTTGCAGTAACCTTTCCATAATGTAACATGAGCCACTACAATCTTATCCTTCTACTTGTGGATAAGCTCGTAACATGTGTCTTACAATATCCTAATATGCGTCTCTATTTTCCTTTTAAGACTTCAGAGCATAAAATGGAAATTAATTGTTTGTGTTTTTCTTTAGGATTATACTCCCTTGTTCACAACCACATAAAATAGGCAAAAAAAAATGTTCAGTTTAAGAGGATGGAGATGGTTTTTGAATACAAAATTTACACGTTTATGTTTAATTTGTTCTGTGTAGAACGAAATGACTTGTTTTTAAACGAAGGTGTAAAGAATGGACCCAGCAAAGAACGAAATTTGTCCATATTTTTTTTCAAAGAAGTTACTAGTTCTTGTGTTTTGGGTTAAACACGGCTAAGATTCTGTCGTTATGTTTTCATATACATAAATTAGTCTTCAAACTTTTAAAAAACACAACTTTAGTCTCTCTTACTTTCAAAAACATGATTATATTTTAGAATGAAGAGACTAATGACCTGTTTAGCGAAAGTTTTCCTCCTCTGACCTGTGTTCAATGTTCAATATCTTGTTAAAAGCTGTGTTCAAACATATCTAGAGTATTATCTCAAAAAGGGGATAAATAGGGAAAAAAGAAAGGTTAACATTGCTAATATGCTATAAATGGGATTGTGGGATAGTTAACAATGCGAAAAATATATATTAAGTAGTGTAGTAATTTATGGTGATTTACTTCTCATACTGAAATAAAGCCTATTAAAGTTTAAAATGTTATTTTTAGTGAATATATGCAAGTGTTTTTGGTAAGGTATTTCAAGGTAAAATGTGGTATGAGTGAGCAGAATCCTGTAAGGGAATTATGGCCGAACATGGGATAACAGAAGGAAGACCAGCCAAAAATGGTAAAAGCTATAACTGATTCAAACTAAGCAAAAGGTGGCAGAGAGAAATGCATTGATTGAGAAAAACATAGGTCCTCCTTTGTAGGAGACCATTGAGGAATAACAGCAAAACCTCCTTTCGTATTATGGACTTTTTAGCATGCAACACGTTTCTCTTTTTCTTTCTGTTGAGAACCCCTGTTTTCTTCCAATCAGGTACATTTCCTCCTTGAGAAACAAAACACTTCTCCCCACGACACTTCAATCCCATAATCTAGGAACACAAATTCCATTAGTAATTCAAGATAGAAACACCAATAAACATAGTAGTAACCTGGTTTTGACTTTTCTGTAGGTTAATTGATCATTTCGCATTCATCTACATGCTTCTAACTAACATGCATTCACATTTTTTTACCATAACTCGTTAATCATTCCTACCACTTGTTCTTTTCAGGGGTCCAACCGTTTGTAGGTGGTGTTTCCGGCAACGTGCTCTTCTGGATACAAACCTTTGGCCGGAAACCATAATTATGTGCTTCATGTGAATTCTGAGATACAGTAACAATGTCTTCCTCTCCTCACAACAGTTCTCCAGATAATGAAATACCTGATGATTCCACCCCAGACAACAGCACCCCGGACAACAGCACCCCTGATGACGCTGACAACTCATCTTCAACACCATCAAATTCATCACCGCCACCATCTCCACCGCCACCTTCATCGCCACCTCCATCTCCTCCACAATCATCTTCATCTCCACCTCCGCCAACCCCATCAGAAAAGTCCTCTCCTTCCCCTCCAACATCAACCAATCCAAGCCCGCCATCACCCAATACTTCCCCACAGACACCTTCTCCACCCGCTTCATCACACTCTCCTCCCTCTTTTAAATCACCCACTCCTCCACACAAATCATTGCAACCTCCAACCGCTTCAAAAAATAGTGGCAGTGGCAGTAGCGGTAGTGGTAAACATGGAAACAGCGATAGCAGTGATCGTGGCAGACACGATAACAGTAAAGCAATAGTTGGAGCAGTGCTTGGGGTGGGGAGCGTGCTTCTTGTTTTGGTCATCGTCTGCGTTATCTGTTCCAGGAAGAAGAAAAAGAAGAGAATGTACTATTACGGAGAGCAATCATTCGGGAAAGGTAACCAACCAAAACCGTTACAATTTCTTGCTTGGCTTTCATGCATATCATGCACAGGCACCATCAGATGATAATCAATACTAACAAATCTTTCCATGAATTTTTCATCCCACATTGCCCAAATGGTTCACTTTATTTCTTCGTTGCGACAAATAGTACCCCTGAAAACCTGCGAGAGGGGTCTCGGGGTATAAGAAATAAAAGGATACCATTTTTGTTTTTCTAACTGGAACTGTGTTTCAAAATTATGTCTGTTTGTTTGTCTCTCATCACAGTTGTATACTGCTGTTGATTTCTGATGTTCATAATTAATGGTCTCTACAGGGAATAACAACTATTACAATAGTGGGCAACACCAGGGTTATTACGGAGGTCCACACGGGGACCATGTTGTGAGGGTGCAAAACGGANACAATTAATATAACTAAAACGAATCTAGTGGTTAGAAAAAACCATTCTTTTAATTTCATATAGAATTAGACATTTACTTAGAAATATGAAATTCCTTAATATTTATTAAAATATATCTATTTCCTAAAATTTATATTTATTCAAATTTACTTGAGAAAATGCTCAAGTAGCATAGATGTTCTAAATTATTAAACTTTTTATTATTAGATAACAATAACATTAGCTGCAAAACATTACCCTTATTCCACTCGCACCAACAACTTAAGGGTGTTTATTCTCCCTTCGCTCTTCGTTTTTGCTTTCTCTCGCGCTCAAAGCACAACACAGAACTATGAACGCTTCAAGGATGCTGCTGTCGTCTCCACTATCGAGCTGCCACGTGGTGCGCGGGAAGCTTTTTCCGGAGTCAATTAGAAGGCGCAGTTGTTGTTCTCCTCCGCCGCTGAAAATAGCGAGCATGGCGAAGGATGGCAGCGACGCCAGCAGCAACGGCGGCATCATTGAAAAAGTAGCCATAGGAGGTGGATTGATCTCAACCCCAGTAATCGCTTGGTCTCTCTACACTCTCAAAACAACCGGTTGCGGTTTGCCCCCCGGTCCAGGTGGCTCGATCGGTGCCCTGGAAGGAGTGAGCTACCTGGTTGTTGTGGGCATAGTGGGTTGGTCACTCTACACTAAAGCCAAAACCGGTTCTGGACTTCCCAACGGTCCTTTTGGTTTGTTGGGTGCTGTTGAAGGCCTTTCCTTTTTGTCTTTGCTTGCCATTGTGGTTGTCTTCGGGTTGCAGTACCTTGACAAGGGTTTCATCCCTGGTCCTCTCCCCGCAGATCAGTGTTTTGGCTAGGTTTTGCAGTAACCTTTCCATAATGTAACATGAGCCACTACAATCTTATCCTTCTACTTGTGGATAAGCTCGTAACATGTGTCTTACAATATCCTAATATGCGTCTCTATTTTCCTTTTAAGACTTCAGAGCATAAAATGGAAATTAATTGTTTGTGTTTTTCTTTAGGATTATACTCCCTTGTTCACAACCACATAAAATAGGCAAAAAAAAATGTTCAGTTTAAGAGGATGGAGATGGTTTTTGAATACAAAATTTACACGTTTATGTTTAATTTGTTCTGTGTAGAACGAAATGACTTGTTTTTAAACGAAGGTGTAAAGAATGGACCCAGCAAAGAACGAAATTTGTCCATATTTTTTTTCAAAGAAGTTACTAGTTCTTGTGTTTTGGGTTAAACACGGCTAAGATTCTGTCGTTATGTTTTCATATACATAAATTAGTCTTCAAACTTTTAAAAAACACAACTTTAGTCTCTCTTACTTTCAAAAACATGATTATATTTTAGAATGAAGAGACTAATGACCTGTTTAGCGAAAGTTTTCCTCCTCTGACCTGTGTTCAATGTTCAATATCTTGTTAAAAGCTGTGTTCAAACATATCTAGAGTATTATCTCAAAAAGGGGATAAATAGGGAAAAAAGAAGGGTTAACATTGCTAATATGCTATAAATGGGATTGTGGGATAGTTAACAATGCGAAAAATATATATTAAGTAGTGTAGTAATTTATGGTGATTTACTTCTCATACTGAAATAAAGCCTATTAAAGTTTAAAATGTTATTTTTAGTGAATATATGCAAGTGTTTTTGGTAAGGTATTTCAAGGTAAAATGTGGTATGAGTGAGCAGAATCCTGTAAGGGAATTATGGCCGAACATGGGATAACAGAAGGAAGACCAGCCAAAAATGGTAAAAGCTATAACTGATTCAAACTAAGCAAAAGGTGGCAGAGAGAAATGCATTGATTGAGAAAAACATAGGTCCTCCTTTGTAGGAGACCATTGAGGAATAACAGCAAAACCTCCTTTCGTATTATGGACTTTTTAGCATGCAACACGTTTCTCTTTTTCTTTCTGTTGAGAACCCCTGTTTTCTTCCAATCAGGTACATTTCCTCCTTGAGAAACAAAACACTTCTCCCCACGACACTTCAATCCCATAATCTAGGAACACAAATTCCATTAGTAATTCAAGATAGAAACACCAATAAACATAGTAGTAACCTGGTTTTGACTTTTCTGTAGGTTAATTGATCATTTCGCATTCATCTACATGCTTCTAACTAACATGCATTCACATTTTTTTACCATAACTCGTTAATCATTCCTACCACTTGTTCTTTTCAGGGGTCCAACCGTTTGTAGGTGGTGTTTCCGGCAACGTGCTCTTCTGGATACAAACCTTTGGCCGGAAACCATAATTATGTGCTTCATGTGAATTCTGAGATACAGTAACAATGTCTTCCTCTCCTCACAACAGTTCTCCAGATAATGAAATACCTGATGATTCCACCCCAGACAACAGCACCCCGGACAACAGCACCCCTGATGACGCTGACAACTCATCTTCAACACCATCAAATTCATCACCGCCACCATCTCCACCGCCACCTTCATCGCCACCTCCATCTCCTCCACAATCATCTTCATCTCCACCTCCGCCAACCCCATCAGAAAAGTCCTCTCCTTCCCCTCCAACATCAACCAATCCAAGCCCGCCATCACCCAATACTTCCCCACAGACACCTTCTCCACCCGCTTCATCACACTCTCCTCCCTCTTTTAAATCACCCACTCCTCCACACAAATCATTGCAACCTCCACCCGCTTCAAAAAATAGTGGCAGTGGCAGTAGCGGTAGTGGTAAACATGGAAACAGCGATAGCAGTGATCGTGGCAGCCACGATAACAGTAAAGCAATAGTTGGAGCAGTGCTTGGGGTGGGGAGCGTGCTTCTTGTTTTGGTCATCGTCTGCGTTATCTGTTCCAGGAAGAAGAAAAAGAAGAGAATGTACTATTACGGAGAGCAATCATTCGGGAAAGGTAACCAACCAAAACCGTTACAATTTCTTGCTTGGCTTTCATGCATATCATGCACAGGCACCATCAGATGATAATCAATACTAACAAATCTTTCCATGAATTTTTCATCCCACATTGCCCAAATGGTTCACTTTATTTCTTCGTTGCGACAAATAGTACCCCTGAAAACCTGCGAGAGGGGTCTCGGGGTATAAGAAATAAAAGGATACCATTTTTGTTTTTCTAACTGGAACTGTGTTTCAAAATTATGTCTGTTTGTTTGTCTCTCATCACAGTTGTATACTGCTGTTGATTTCTGATGTTCATAATTAATGGTCTCTACAGGGAATAACAACTATTACAATAGTGGGCAACACCAGGGTTATTACGGAGGTCCACACGGGGACCATGTTGTGAGGGTGCAAAACGGAATGGTTCCCGGTGGTGGTGGTGGGGGTGGGGGTGGAGGTGGTGGTGGAGGTGGGTGGGGTGCACCACCTCCTCCTATGATGCATAGCGCTGATATGAGCTCCAACTACTCGACGGGACCACCCCCTTTGCCTCCTCCCTCACCAACCCTTGCTCTAGGCCTCAAAGGTGGCACCTTTACTTATGAGGAACTATCTGCTGCCACCAATGGATTCGCTGATTCAAAACTGATAGGACAGGGTGGCTTCGGTTATGTCCACATGGGTGTGTTGCCTAACGGAAAGGAAGTGGCAGTTAAGAGTCTAAAAGCAGGAAGTGGACAGGGAGAACGAGAGTTCCAAGCTGAGATTGACATCATCAGTCGTGTCCATCATCGCCATCTTGTGTCACTCGTTGGATACTCTATTTCTGGCGGCCAGAGAATGTTGGTCTATGAATTTATTCCCAATAAAACCTTGGAATATCACCTTCATGGTAACTACTACATATATGCATTCTTTCAATCTATGTCACTTTAGCTTTCGCTTCAACTGTTGTATTTCAAATTTCATTTCAAGGACAATTGTGAAACCATAACCCTCAAGTTTACACACACACACAAACACATATATATAAGTTTAACATGAAAGAAAACCTTTTAGTGATGTAAAACAACTATAGAAATTTTCTATAGTAATGATAAACTGCAACAAAAATTTGTGCAAAGACTAAAACTTAAGGTTTTTTGAATTGGAACTAAAATTTAGAATGGGAACATTTGCAAAAAGCACTGAGTGAATACTAGTATTTAGATCTGAGACTTGTAATGCCGCTGGTGCGAGTTACTAGTGAGATTTTTCTGACTTCTTTTGCTGTGAGCACCTGCAAGCAAAATTGCTAATGTATTATATGGTTCTATTCAGGAAAGGGAAGGCCTACAATGGATTGGCCTACCAGAATGCGAATTGCGATAGGATCAGCCAAAGGACTGGCTTATCTTCATGAAGATTGTAAGAGAGTCACAACCCTCTAGATTATGATCTTTCTTTTTTTATTCATTTTATTCTGTATTTACATTTTCTTTTAAATTTTTGCTGTATCTCTTTAGGTCATCCTCGTATAATCCATCGTGATATTAAAGCTGCGAATGTCCTCATTGATGATAGCTTCGAGGCAAAGGTTCGACATAATTACATATTTTATCTATTTCATTAGTTTACATAGACAATTTACCTACTTAATTATCATCACACATGTTGCGAATCTTATGTTGTCGAGCTAATTGAGTTTGGCAACAACGCATTCATTCAGGTTGCTGATTTTGGATTGGCTAAGTTGACCACCGATAATAATACTCATGTATCGACTCGAGTCATGGGAACTTTCGGGTTATTTCTCATCACCATATGGTTTCATCCCTGTAAAAACTTCAATAAAGAAATGGTTTTTGCTGACGATATGCATGCTGACACAGGTACCTAGCCCCAGAATATGCATCAAGTGGAAAATTGACTGAGAAGTCTGACGTTTTCTCATTTGGGGTCATGCTATTGGAGCTCATAACTGGGAGGCGACCTGTGGATCACACAAGTGCCATGGACGACAGCTTAGTAGATTGGGTTGGTATCATCTTCATCTAAGACTCCATCATTTTTCCTATAACATTTTTTTTTTCTGGTTGAACTAATTACAACTTTTGGGAACCTATGAACCTAGGCTCGACCACTACTGAATCGTGGATTGGAAGAGGATGGCAACTTTGGAGAGTTGGTTGATCCATTCTTGGAGGGAAACTACAATCCTCAAGAAATGGCTAGGATGGCAGCTTGTGCTGCTGCTAGCATTCGGCATTCTTCCAAGAAACGTGCAAAAATGAGCCAGGTATGTATATGAGTCATACAGAGATCACATCAACGTTGATTAATGCCATATAAGTGAACAAAACAAAATAAAACGTTCCCTTTTATAGTGACTAATTGAATTCATATTCGATTAAAGTACATAATTTAGTTACTTACGAGTTTATGTGCAGATTGTAAGAATATTGGAAGGAGATGTGTCGCTGGATGATTTGAAAGATGGGATGAAGACAGGGCAGAGTACTGTTTTCAATTCTTCATCTGGGTCAGATCAGTATGATACAATGCAGTACAATGCAGACATGGAAAAGTTTAGAAAGGCAGTGTTTTCTAGCCAGGAATTTGGCACGAGCAGTGGTGGCTCTAGTAGTGAAGTGAGCCAGAAACAGAGGCTTTAGATTGCGGAACTGATGAGATTACTTACCAATTGTAGCAGAAACGAAGTGACCAGTTACTGCATTTTATTGTTTGATTGGCATGCGTGCATGGGAAGTGAGGTCTCAATTTGTAGACAACTAAACTGAGCTTGGTGCCTTCAACCGTTTCAGGGTGCGTTTGATGAGGCCTAAGGTCAATGTAATGTTATGTGGCTTGCATCTTTTGTTCAATGTTTTATGTCCTTTGATGTAAGAGCACATGTATGGAATGGAGTCTTGAACATAAATATAACCCTTATCATTGATGCAATGTTTATTGTATTTGTTTCACCCAGGTTGTGGTGATTGTAGGCCTTTCAAGTACTTAATTCTTTTATTTTATTTTTCTTCTGTTTCTTTCAGGAAGGTAGTAGGCCTTAAAAATATATTATATTGTTGTTTCTGATAGAAGAAATATTCAATTTCATTTATGAAAATTTGAGGAGTAATGATTTTTAAATGGGTCTATGAAATTTTGTTCATAAGGTAGAACTTTCAACAGAAGTTCACATCAGTAATTAGATGTCACAATGATATATTTCACACTCACTCTTGTATATAACTCCTATGTATGACACTTAAATGATTCTTATGTAATTTATCCATTTGTATTTAAATCCTTCTCTTAATTTTGAATTTGTCTATTATTAAATAGAAAACACTAAAACATTGACAAAACCTAAAAAATGGACTACCAATATGGGAACACAAGTCCTCATAGTTCAACATGAGAAGAGGATGAAGAAACATTTTATATATTTAGATTCTCATTGCACCAAATGCATTTGAGATTTGTTAGTTTGTAAGACAATATGTGAATGGCAAAGAGTGATGAACACCAATGAGTTTTTACAATATTAAAATGCTATTGGTTTTCAAGAAAATAAAATAGTAATTTTATAAATTGATTACACTTATGTTATTGTTAAAACTATTTAACATATACGGAGGTTATTTTGTATAAATATGACTTAGTTAGTATTACCAAATTGTATAACAAAAAAATTACTAGTTAAGCAAATGTTCAATATCACTTAGCAACAATAATACTAATAACTTTCTTAGACATTCACATGTAGGAACGATTTTAAAGAGAGATAAACTAATATTAAATGTTTCATATTTTCTTACATTTATAAGAAATATAACACAACCTTTTATATAAGATACACAAAATAATAAAAAAAGAGAAACAAAAATGAGAAAAATACTTAAGTTTCCTAATAATCCATATACAAAGAAAATAAATAAGGAATGTTTTGAAATCATAAGACTCAACAACCAATTTGATTTAATTCTTTTAATTTACTGAAAGAAGAGTTTTATGCTGTAGTATTTACTTTTATAATAAATTTCTGTAATAGACCTAATTTGAAGTTTATTAAGATATTAACTACACTACTTTTTTTTTGTTATTTTTCATTATTCTTTTATTTATTTTCTCTTACAGTTTTTCTAGTACAATTTATTGTTTGTGTAGTAGCCTATTAGTATTCCACAATAAACAAGGTGCACGGAATGGTGTTGTGTTTGTGCTAAATTTAAACCATGGTCAACAGAAATTGATAGTATAAATTTCAAAGGAGTCATGTAATGAATTGAGTTAGAATTTTCTGAATAATTCACCGCCAAAGACAAAATTTTAATGTCAATTCATATTTTATAGAAATGTTTATGCTTAAAAAACAAAAGAATACAAATAACATCAATTCTGGTAAAGAAAATAGTCTACCGTGAATCATATGACATGGTTCAATATATTTGTTAAATATTTACGTATATTTTAAAAGTCTAAGGTTTTCTGTTCGTCAACGCTTTTTTTTTCTTTTGTTAAATTAGAAGGTTATTTGTCAAAATTAGTGAACATTCCTCAAGTAATTAATTCGTATTAAATATAATTATTTATATTTTTATAACACATATGAATTTATAGTTTTCAAAATAAATTTTAAACTTATAATAATGTAATTATAATTTAATTAGTAATAATCATTGTTCTAAACTAATCAGTGTTAATAATAATTTCATAGTTCTAAACTAATCAGTGTTAATAATAATTTCATAGTATTCACAAACAAATAAATATTTATTGTTCGGTCTCTTATATAAATCTGACTGTAGAGGTTCTTATGCTACATTTAATTCACAAGTAACATCAAAATATTATTTATATTTATGAAAACATTTATTTATTACACATTTTAATTACATGAAAATAATTATTTTGCCAAAGTATTTTCCGGATTATCTATTAGAGAAATTAACATGGGGGTATTATAATTACAAGTAAAAAAAACGCAGTCAAAACCCTCTTAGCGAACGCCACGTGTTAAGCAAAGGAAGTGTGAGATTCAAAAAGTGGAAGACAGGTGTGCATCGCAGATTGGACGAACGATTTGACGGTAGAGTAAAACTGAAATTTTCTAAGTTTCGTGCCACTTCTCTGCATGCACCAGTCATCTTCAACCTTCTGAAATCTCCTCCTTCTCTCTAAAAACTCTTTATTCTCTCTACAAAATCTCACCCTTTCTCTTCTCTGATCACCACTCAGGCACCGTTGAAGCACTCCCGACGTCAAGAGCTTTAGTGTAAACCGATTGGTTTATGATTCTGAGTCGGTGAGTCTCTTTTTCTCTAGTACGTTCGGTTACGTCTTGCATGCAACTATTTGGTTCTGGTCGTCTGAGTGGGTGGTAGTAGTTTGAGTGTTTCTGGTTTTTCTCTGTAGTTCAGTATCCCTAACAACGTGATCGTCGAACGTTAGTTCTGTGGTAGAGGGAAGTTTTATTCTGATTCGTTTGAGCGGTCGTCTACATGTCGAGGTAAGGGAAGCTTATATAATTTAATTGTATGTTCGTTTTTACGTTCGTTGCTAATGAATCCATGTTTGTTGAGTGGCTGAATGTATATGAAGTATGATTGTTGATATGTTTTGACTATATGAAGTATGATTATTTACTATGATATGGATGTTTGATTTTATGAAAATAGATGTTGAGAGATGAAATGATATAAAGAATTCTAGTATGAAATTTCCCTATGAAAGTGTACGTTCGTCACTGAACGGTCCTTGACCGTTCGATTTTTCTAGTGAACTTAGTTGAAATTGGATTCTTTCATTTGGGAAGAATCCTAGTTGAGGACGAGCGTCTTCGTCTTCGTTTCGTAATACTGTGCATGAGCGTTCGACCAAGCGTAGTTATTCCTTGGTATTCGGTTATAAACTTAAGTATATCTATATGTATTTGTATATTTTCGTTTGTTCTTAAACACTACTCAAAAATGATATCTTATTATATTTATCAAGTCTTTCTCCTATAAGTTTAGTAGTGTTCGGTCTTACACCAAACGCTCGTACTAAGTAGTGCTCGGTCTTCCACCAAGCGCTCGTGCTGAGTAAGTGCTCGGTCTTACATCAGGTACTCATTCTCCTTTTTGAAATATACATATACATATACATACATACATACATACATATATATANAGTGAGCCAGAAACAGAGGCTTTAGATTGCGGAACTGATGAGATTACTTACCAATTGTAGCAGAAACGAAGTGACCAGTTACTGCATTTTATTGTTTGATTGGCATGCGTGCATGGGAAGTGAGGTCTCAATTTGTAGACAACTAAACTGAGCTTGGTGCCTTCAACCGTTTCAGGGTGCGTTTGATGAGGCCTAAGGTCAATGTAATGTTATGTGGCTTGCATCTTTTGTTCAATGTTTTATGTCCTTTGATGTAAGAGCACATGTATGGAATGGAGTCTTGAACATAAATATAACCCTTATCATTGATGCAATGTTTATTGTATTTGTTTCACCCAGGTTGTGGTGATTGTAGGCCTTTCAAGTACTTAATTCTTTTATTTTATTTTTCTTCTGTTTCTTTCAGGAAGGTAGTAGGCCTTAAAAATATATTATATTGTTGTTTCTGATAGAAGAAATATTCAATTTCATTTATGAAAATTTGAGGAGTAATGATTTTTAAATGGGTCTATGAAATTTTGTTCATAAGGTAGAACTTTCAACAGAAGTTCACATCAGTACTTAGATGTCACAATGATATATTTCACACTCACTCTTGTATATAACTCCTATGTATGACACTTAAATGATTCTTATGTAATTTATCCATTTGTATTTAAATCCTTCTCTTAATTTTGAATTTGTCTATTATTAAATAGAAAACACTAAAACATTGACAAAACCTAAAAAATGGACTACCAATATGGGAACACAAGTCCTCATAGTTCAACATGAGAAGAGGATGAAGAAACATTTTATATATTTAGATTCTCATTGCACCAAATGCATTTGAGATTTGTTAGTTTGTAAGACAATATGTGAATGGCAAAGAGTGATGAACACCAATGAGTTTTTACAATATTAAAATGCTATTGGTTTTCAAGAAAATAAAATAGTAATTTTATAAATTGATTACACTTATGTTATTGTTAAAACTATTTAACATATACGGAGGTTATTTTGTATAAATATGACTTAGTTAGTATTACCAAATTGTATAACAAAAAAATTACTAGTTAAGCAAATGTTCAATATCACTTAGCAACAATAATACTAATAACTTTCTTAGACATTCACATGTAGGAACGATTTTAAAGAGAGATAAACTAATATTAAATGTTTCATATTTTCTTACATTTATAAGAAATATAACACAACCTTTTATATAAGATACACAAAATAATAAAAAAAGAGAAACAAAAATGAGAAAAATACTTAAGTTTCCTAATAATCCATATACAAAGAAAATAAATAAGGAATGTTTTGAAATCATAAGACTCAACAACCAATTTGATTTAATTCTTTTAATTTACTGAAAGAAGAGTTTTATGCTGTAGTATTTACTTTTATAATAAATTTCTGTAATAGACCTAATTTGAAGTTTATTAAGATATTAACTACACTACTTTTTTTTTGTTATTTTTCATTATTCTTTTATTTATTTTCTCTTACAGTTTTTCTAGTACAATTTATTGTTTGTGTAGTAGCCTATTAGTATTCCACAATAAACAAGGTGCACGGAATGGTGTTGTGTTTGTGCTAAATTTAAACCATGGTCAACAGAAATTGATAGTATAAATTTCAAAGGAGTCATGTAATGAATTGAGTTAGAATTTTCTGAATAATTCACCGCCAAAGACAAAATTTTAATGTCAATTCATATTTTATAGAAATGTTTATGCTTAAAAAACAAAAGAATACAAATAACATCAATTCTGGTAAAGAAAATAGTCTACCGTGAATCATATGACATGGTTCAATATATTTGTTAAATATTTACGTATATTTTAAAAGTCTAAGGTTTTCTGTTCGTCAACGCTTTTTTTTTCTTTTGTTAAATTAGAAGGTTATTTGTCAAAATTAGTGAACATTC